AAAGAAAAAAAGAGGACACTATGAACTCATCTACAAAACAGAAACAGACTCACAGACATAGTAAACAATCTTATGGTTACCAGGGAAAGGGGGTGGGAAGGGATAAATTTGGGAGTTTGAGATTTACAAATGTTAGTCACTATATATAAAAATAGATTTTTAAGAAGTTTCCTCTGTACAGCATGGGGAACTATGTTCAATATCTTGTAATAACCTTTAATGAAAAAGAATATGAAAACAGAAAAAAAAGTTGTTGGATATCCATACAATGAAATATTATTCGTGTATAAAAAGGAATGAAGTAGTGATATATGCTGTAACATGGATGAACCTCCAAAACATCATGCTTAGTGAAAGAAGCAGATGCAGAAGGTGGCATATTGTATGTTTCCACTTATATGAAATGTCCAGAATGGATAAATTCGTAGACACAGGATGTAGACTGGTGGTTCCCAGGGTCTGCAGAGAGAGGCAGAGGGGGAGACACTGCTGAATGAGTTAGCAGTTTTACTTTGGAGTGATGGAAGTATTTTGCAACTAGATAGAAGTGGTGATTTTAGTACATCAGGAATATACTAAATGCCACTGAATTGTTCACTTTAAAGTGGTTAATTGTGTGTTATGTGAATTTCATCTCAATAAACAAAACAAAAGTCCGTAATACGAAATAGAAGTGGTTGCGATCTGTATTACCAGAACTGCTTAACAAGCACATTCACGTGAATGTTTCTCATTACGATAGCTGGGCGAGATTATGACCAGTGATGAGGTTCTGAACGACCAACGATGTATCTCATATTCAGCTGACATTCTGAAAGTCAAAATGAGAAAATTGATTGATATTTCTTGGGTTTTTGTTTTTTTTTTAGGACTCTCAGCTCGTTTCCTCGGGACACAATAATCCAAGTAAGAAAGACTTTTCTCTCCAGCTTTGTATGTGGGCGTTGGGGTCGGGGTGGAGCCTGTGAGGACAGACGCGTGCAGTAGGCAGTAGGTTTAAAGGAGTTTTGCTAAAAGACAGAATCAGGTAGCGAATAAGAAAGCCATTTGCTCAAGTTCTGCTGAAGTGGATAAGACTCATGGAGACCTTATCTCTAAGTGCTCCTCTTTATTTAAGGGAAGGAAGCCCAAATCATGAACAAAAAAAAATTTAAAGGCAACTAATGAGTTAGCTAAAATTGAAAGAAAATAAACGGGCAAAGAGACCCAATCAGAAGACCTGTGAGAAACAGCCTTAACAGCCACGAATAACCCATGCCCTCTTCAGGGAGAAGCAGACTCACGTGTCCAGGAAAGAAGTTCGTTATTGAGTCCAGCGTCTAGTAAAACACATGGGCTGCTTCATCAAAGAGAGAGTGTTAGCGTTCCATGAAGTATTGTTTTAATTCTCTCCTTTGGCACTACTAATTGGTATTAATGTTTTCTTGCACATTAAAAATGTATAAGCTCCCCCATTCATATCACGAAAGCACACCCACGAAGACTGGCCTTTGTTAGTCTCTTGACCAGCCAGTCGGCTGAGCGTATCCCTTGCCAATTTTCAAAGCTGTGTTTGAAGGCGAAAATCACTCTGAGCCGGTTGCTGTGTCTTAGGACCTGAGGCTCACCCACTGAGCATCTGTGAGGGCAGAAGGATGAGGGAGGAAAGACATCCAGACAAATGACAAATGCATTAGGAAGCTCCAGACTTCCAATGCACAGCTCGAGAAAGGTTAGGGTAGGGGGAGGAAATGATGGCGTAATGATGCATAGGCAATATGACTTAATTATCCCACCCTCTGTTGGAATTCGCTGTGAGCACAAGTGCCAGTGAGGAGGTGAAATGCCGAGGGACTTGAAATCTGTAGGAAGCTGTAAATTTAATAGTAAGAAAAGGAATGGGAAGAGATGCGTGTTTAAGTCCATAAGGTGTGTGGGCATCAGCATCATTTGCCAAAGATAGAGCAT